GTGTGTGTGTGTGTGTGTGTGTGTGTGTGTGTGTGTGTGTGTGTGTTGGTACGGTTGAGTCATTTCTTGGACTTGAGCTCTGAGCAGCTTGTGATAACACCCACAAAGTGCTTTGCTGATTGATCTTAAATCATAAGGCACTATATATGATAAATATATTCTACCTTTTATGGTTAAAACTGGGATGCATCCCAGCTGTTATTAGATAAGAAGCAGGGTACAAACTGAACAGATTGCCAGTCAGTCACAGAAACACAAGACAGCCAATCGACTGTGTGCATGATTTTTATCTGAAGGAAAAAGAAAACAAGTCAGACAATCTAGAGCACATGTGTCAAACTCAAGGCCTGCGGGCCACAACTGGTCACATCACCAAATAGCCAGATGACTCCTGTCTGGCCCATAAAGGGGGGCACCCCCGCAATAAATAAATAAATAAATAAATATATACATACATACATACACTTCATAGTATGTATACTTAATATGATGCTAAACTTTAAATTTATGATTAAATGCAACAAAATAAACAAATTTAAAAGTGAAAGATAATAATACTTGTCCTGCCTGAGCTGTTGGCTCTAACAGAAATTTTGTAGCACGATATTTAATAAGCTGCTTTAAAGCCAGRATTGACCATAAACTACATCTCCCATAATGCATGTCAATCATCCATGGGAATTCCCTGTTGGAATGTGGGAGAGTTCAGAATTCAAGATGGCAGCTACTCAGTGCAACTCATCAGTGGAGAGGCGCCTCGCTGCAGCAAATAATAAGGGGCGGGGTCAGGTCCGATGTGTCAGYCACATACCGTATTTGGAAGTAACGTTAAATGACCTCATATTAACCCCACAAATTTAAAACCTCAYGTRAACCGTTAATMATTCATTTCTCCCTGACTTCWAACTCTAAAACYTAACCKCAGASGTTTATTGTCTCAGATTAACCTGGTATAGGAAATGGCGCCCCCTTCATTTCCGGAGTGCAATGACGCTACTTCCAAATATGGTATGGGTCTGACACATCGGACCAGACCCCGCCCCTTACTGTTTGCTGCAGCGAGGTGTACGTGCATCAGTGAGTAAAAATTTTACTTTTGCTTTTGACAATATTTCTGTATTATTTATTTCACATTTAGTCAGTTGTACACGTCGTAGTGTACAACTGCAGTGTTTATGAGGATGTGTTAAAACCCAGTTTCTAAGCAGGAAATACCAGGTAGAGCTCACTTAGTGTTTGTTAGTCACAGCAATGAAACAAGGAACATGTTTAGTTGAAGTTAAACATTAAACATCAAAGTTAATTATAACTGGCCCTTTGAGGGCCACTGTAATGCTCATGTGGCCCTCAGTGAAAATGAGTTGGACAACCCTGTAGAGGAAACCCACACAGACAAAGAGGAGACAAGCAAACAGCACACAGGAGGGTTTGCACAGTCCAGACCTTCTCCCACCATGTTTACTGCCACCAAAGTCGCATTGTTTTGGGAGAGGGGGCTCGGCTGCAGACTGAGCTACAGGGAGGAGCTTTGTACAAATAGGTGGAGCTTTGTACCAGCAAGCGTTTAGGCAGCTCAACATGGCTACCACAGGAGATTGAAGGATTTCTTAAACATGCATGAATGAGTCAAAGCAACACTTTGATGAGGGAATGACATAACAAGATATAATGCTCAAACAACTTGATTTTGCATTATAACCCCTCTTAATGTAAAACAGCAATTGATTTGAACCATTTTTGGTCTAAAAGTGTCAAAACTGTTTTTTCGGTTCATTTAGAGATTTCGTAACAGACTGTTCTGTTTGAATCCATGTGCTTCGTGACTATGTGCTGCCATGGACACTGAGAGGTGCTGCTTTGTCTTTTTATAGTATCAACATGTATACAAAAAAACACTGACTCTCATACACACATACAGAAAGAACAGAGCACTTTGTCATTCCCATGAGCAGTGATCTGTTTACAGGGTGACTTGGGAACAGCTTGTTTCTCTCAGTGTTTTGTTTTTAGTGTTTGTGGATGAGTGGAAATTTTTGGTTACGCTGACAATTAGTCAAGTCAAGGCTCTGAACCACAGATAGTTAACTGAGTGTTTTAATTGTACACCTCACAGAACTGGACAATATTTAACATCCAGACTGACTATTTTGCCATTTCATTGAAGCATAAAAAAAAAAAAACTCTTCAGCAGAAATACGCAGGTTGTTTCAGGCAGTCAGTCAAAATCCTGCTGATTCAGGTCAGCTTCTGCCTCTTGTGTCTAATGCTTCCTGTCTTCCTGAAACCTGAGCTCTGATTAAAGGCAAACAGGAAGCATTAGAGAAACTGGAAGAAGTCTGGCGGATGGTTTGAGTGTGTGAGAAAGAAGTGTTCCTGCTACGCTCCTTTTAATGGTTTAATGTACTATTAGGACCTTCCTGAAACTGTTAAGATATGCAGCAGACTGCGGAGTAACACTTAGACACAGAGCAAGGCRGTCCAACGTCCAACATGATGGATGGATGGGAAATGAAGATGAGCAGTATGATCTGGCTCACAGTATAATTCATTTTACTGCTGTAAAGTACAGTTAGGTGGGAGCCAAACTTTTGTTTTTCTGATGACTTATGTGAGTAAAGACTTTTTTTGAATAGAATCTAAATATGCAAAATTTGAAATAAACGTAAAATTACTGAATGGTTACAAGATGAAAATGTCAAATCTCGTGTCCGATTGAGGTTATAATTCCATTCATAGACCAAATCACTGGAGGCTAAAAGGAGTTTTTATGATTATAAATTAAACACAAAGGTGCCACCATATAAAAGATTTAATAAGAATAAGAATAATAAGAATAGAAACCCTACAAAATAAACATATCAGCTAAGTTTAAAGGGGCAACATCATGTAAAATGTACTGTTTTGAGTTTTATATCATGTTATAATGTTATACTCTCATAAAAACATGCCCAAAGCCTTGCTTTGACTCATTCATGCATGTTTGAGAAATC